GTGTTCATCATATCTCTGTCTCGAGGGTCAACATTGATTTTCTGCTCTTAACAACAGTAACTATGGCAACATGAGGCATTCTATATACACCCATACTGTACACCCGCTTCAGAAAGACACACACAGACACACACACACACCAACACCACACACACCACACACCACACACAAACACACCACACACACCAAAGACAGACACACCTCACAAATACAACACAAAGAGACAGGAAGGCAGACACACACACACACAGGCCATTTTCCTTAATGTAAACAATAGAAAAAAGGAAGTGGAGAGGGTGGGGCCCTAGAAGCCATGAAGAAAGAAAAGAGGAGATATACTGTCAATACACCCAAATCCAGAAAAGACAGACAGAAAAAGAGGGAGAGAACAGTTCCTTAGCCCAAAGGCAGACTTACACAGGCAGATGAGGTGAGAGCACTCCAGCATTAAGGGTTTGTAGTCAGACGGAGACCAAAGAAAAGAGAACAGTGAACATAAATCCTGTGTTAGTGAAGGCGCTGGGGAACCCACAGTCTGTTGTTTCCTCTTTATCTGTGTGACCAGACAGGCACACCTCACTTATTTAAAAGAACAGCTCTTCCGGTGGAAAAAAAAAGTCCCCCCCGAACGTCCAGCTCCCATAAATGAGATGGAACATGACAAAGAGGTCAGAGCTCCCATTCAGACCAGAACGTCGTTTCTTACTTTTCACGGTATCTAAACATAAACATGTACAAAAATGTGTCACCTTGTTCCATCTTCAATTCAGGTGTTGTGCTTTTGTTACCCGGCAAAAGGCCCATAGCGCTAAGCCCTCCCAGGTCTCTATGGGGTCGTGGTCATTTAGTATAGCAGCTATCTAAGTGATGCCTATCTAACCTGAAAGAGTCCTGAATATTTCATCTTTCCTGAGGGCACCCCTAGGTGGAATTCAAATATAACGCATCAGGCAAAATAGGTAAATGCGTCAAGCGTTACCAAGGCAACTACAGTAGATAATATAAGGAAGATCAAATTACAAACAAACACTGAGAAAAGCACATTAAGTGGTACAGCCTCTAAAAAGGTTTCATTGATTTTTCACAATAGAAATCAATTTTTTTTATTCTTACCTGATTGATATCATCTTTTTCCTAGTATACCAATCTGATGCATTAGGAAAATGTATGTTTTATGTCTCCAACAGTACTTTATGGGCAGGTGAAGACTAAATGAGGGCAGCTCAGTGACACACAACACACAAACCATTCTCTGTGGAGAATAAACGTTCTGAGTCTAATTATTTTACAGGTGGTTTTGAAATTTCTCCTAAAATATTGATTTTAAGGTACCATTGGAGTTGGTTGGCACTTTTGTTGTTAAGAGGCACAATGAGATCACACTGAGATATTGTTTTTCAGGAGACTACTTTCCAGAACGAAAGTTCCCGGATCAACCTAGTGTCTCCTACTCAAAAAGGAACTCAGCATTGGCTTGATTTTGGATCAAAAACTTCTAGAAATGCAATGCAGTCGTGAAGCCACGCTACGTAAAAACTAGCGTCTTAGATTAGGTGTGTGTAGCCAATGAAAACAGAAAACAGCTGACATCCCATTATGACCCAACCAGCAAGCTGTGAAGTTCTTGATACATACTGAAGGAAGTAACCTGCAGAGGGTTTACTTCAGTTTGTGGTGTCCCTACTGGCATGATGACATCAAGAGAATCCAGTTTTTCCTAGTGATGGACACACCCCGTGCGAAGAGGACCAATGTACTCCCGTCTCAGCTGATCGATGTCCCCCGTGGAGAGCTGAAGAAGCCACTGCCAGACTTAAAAAACAATTAACAATAATTCAAAATCTGAAATATCATATTCCTTAATATTACAGCCACAACACGGCCTTATATTCCTCCCCTTCCTTACCAAAGCCACTCAATCAAAAATGCTCAAAAATATATCAATAACCCCTATTCCCAGCCTATAAACAATCTCAAAAAAGAATTCACAAGGGCATATTTTCCAGTTTTATTACAGCCGCATGACCTTGCGAACCAGACAACTACAGTAATACGTCCAACAGCAACACTTGTGGTGTATGGAAAACAAGTAAAAACCCCCACGATACATAAACAGAAAAATGCAAACAGCCTGTGAGTCATCCTCCAGCACTTTTTATTAACAGAAATCCTACATGGAAGGCTGTCGTCGCAAATCAATATCCTTTACGCAATAACCCAAATGTCAGCACTGCAAATTAAAGTGACCGACTTGTATTTAGACTCAAAAATGCATCACCTTTGATGTCGGCGCGCCGTTGCTGTGTGTGTGTGTGTTGTGTGTGAGCGTGTGCCTGTCCAGGCTCGTGACAAGGAGAGCGATAACAAACAACTACAGCAGGGGAGCGTGGTAAGAGACAAGATGATGATTATTATATGTGGATGTTTTCAGGAAAGATATGGAGGCAGTGTGAATATGGTCTACATTAGCCGCAAGAGGTATTCAGTTCCACAGGAAACACAAGCGACGTGACTTGTTTGCAAACCTGCTCGACACAACACAAACTGCACACAGAACACAACACACACACAAAAATAAGAAATAACGGGTTAAAAAGTTTTCAGTTCTGCCAAATTAAAAAAACAGATAGGAAAGTTAATTTTTTTTTTTTTTTCGACCCAAACCTGATCTACAAGCCCCTGAATTGTGATCAAGCCCTTGTGTGCATTTATACACACATAAACCAACACACACACACACACCACGCACACACAGACAGGCTCTAAAAGCCACTGCAGGGCCTACAATGTAAGGCAAACCAGCTTCATTATATTCTGCCTTGGTCGAGTAGCTGACGCTGACAAATAAACACCCCTCAACGTCTGCTGCCCCTCAGCCCACCCCGGCCTGTGCCTCCCTTTCAACCAAA